TAAATCTCCAGGAAAATTACCAGGGCAAATTCAATCGCCCAGGCTGAGTAAAGATTTGAAGCGATGACATAGAAGGCTACTGGAGGAACCTTAGGTCTACTCAGTGTTCGAATTATACCCATTTCGCAGTACTTTTCAGATGTTACTAGTACATTTGTTTCCTATAGCAATTGAATTAATTTAAAATTTTCGAAGAAAATAAATATAAGGAATTTCTGGCAGCTATAACCACAGAGTATAGAAAAAATACCTCGAAGTCCAAAGAGATTTCGCTAAACGCGATGAAGGCAACGCGCGAAGTCACGGAAATTCCTTACTGGTGTGTGGGTGGGGGAACGCCTGTATAAGTCAATCGGGTGGAGCAGGTAGAACGGAAAAAGGGTGAATATCTTAGCAAGGAAATGATCCCAAGCTCCTCGCAAATAGAGGTAATAGAGCCCACTTTCCTTCTTCTCACGAGTGGGATTTAATAAAGAGGACAGTTCCCCTGATGAATCTCGGGTAGTTGACACAAATCCTTTTGCCTTCAGTTCACTCCCCATTCTTGTACAACAAACTTCGATATGCATCCATTGTTGTCAGCGGTTTTTGTTGGGAAAACAAAAAAGAAATTCCGGAGATCACTTTATGAACCTGCTCAGAGCCATCAAACAATATTAACAATCATAAATTAGAAATCGATAACAACTAAAGTAACAATGCTACTTTAAAGTAATCGACATTATAGAAATCTCTGATCGTGGTCGACCACTTTTTTCGAATGTTGGCACTTGATTGATTTTTTGCACCACGTTCATTCCTTCAATCACCTGAAAGGGTGTAACTTAGTTGACATTTTTTGAAACAGCACCAGTCCTATCAAGTGTCCGTATTTTTTTGCGATATAAATATTTCATGAACAACATTCATAATGCTATACCTCTCCAAATATGGTGTTCTTGCCATCTAACCATTCCGCCGGGCATACTGTGATGAAAAATTGAGACCCATTTGAATTTGGACCGGCGTTTGCCATGGACACCTAGAATTACTAGTTTGAATGAAAAACTTATGAAGTATACAGTAATGGCTAATGAACCTTAAAAGGTTTGTCATGTCGTAGTCGTGGGTGAAACTCGTCCTCAAAGTCTGTTCCCCATATTGACTGTCCTCCTGTACCTTTTCCAGTTGGATCGCCAGTCTAAAATCCAAAGTCATAAAGGCATGAAAGCTTTTCGAATTTGCTTGTACTGAGAATAGATGCATTAAAATAAAATGGTCCCTGACCCACCTGTATCATAAACGATTTAATCACTCTATGGAACGTTAAACCATTATAATATCCTCTTCTTGCATGTGTGCTGAAATTCTCCACAGTTCGAGGGCATTCGTTGGGAAATAGGCGAATTCGAATATCACCCAGAGTTGTATGAATTACAGCTTCTTCAGTGACGTGTACAACATCACCTTCTTGCTAAAATGAGATCAGTATAAGGCTTTGCGATAGATTGATAAAATTGTGATGTGTCAACCTCAACAGCAGTCAACTGGTCTTCCTTTCGTGGTTTTTCATTAAATATATCTCGACTAGTAGCCGACTCGTCGGACTCGTCGGTTGAATAGGGTTCCGTATTCGTGAACAAGTAGAAACGATTCTTTTTCAAGGCACAGCATACCTAGAAATTTCAAGGTTACTCTTTGTTATCCAAAGAAAAAGATTGGGAATAGAATGGTCTACCATGATTGGATCGGGATCAGCAATTCTATTTAGATTTGGGTTATCAGCCGCTTCGGTTTCAATCGTTACTGCGGCTCCCTGTAACCGGGCTCGAAGATCAGGCACAGATCTAAATTTTAGGGTATTCCGCTTTATGCTTGCTAACAAATCGGAAATAGGAACATTTTTCAGAAGAGAGAAGAGTACCTGCAAAGTGAAACAGCTACGAATCGCATGGTCTCTTCTTTTCCGATTTCACGAACAACGCAATCAGTGTATACATTATAAACCTTAACAACGCTTGTTTCAGGAAAACTCAGCGGAATCAACAAAGAGCAGCAAGCTGACATTCGGCGTGGTAACGAGCACCTTCCTATACTAACAACGACCTCACCTTGATCCCAACTGGAGAGGGGTACAACACAAAATATCCGGAATAATCCCAGCATAACTTGATGTTCTTGAAAGCATTTGCACGATCTTTATCCATTTCCTTTTCTAGGGCAACACGCCGATTCCATTCCATGTTTTGTAAACCATAAGATCTAAACGTGACTTAGAACATTTAGAAAAAGGAACCAGTGGTAGACACCTTCAAAGTTACCGTTGTTCCTTAGATTCTGTCTGGTATTTGGATAACGTTTCATCGATTGTTTTTAGCAATTTCCCTGTAGGTAAGGAGAAAATTCGTATCCGCCGATCTTCACCATATGTAGCAAACATTGTGCCTTTGTGATTGATAGCCAAAGAAACAGGTACAGTTTTAGCCTGAACGGAAACAGATCAACGAAAGGGCGGCTACATGTTTTCAGGTTAACCTCTTACCTTCATGAACTCATACAGATCTGTTTCTGTCTTATATTTGAACTTTACATTTTCAGCAAACTTGAATTCTCGTTTTGCTCCGGACCAGTACTCTATCATTCCAGTATCATCTATGGAGATTACGATGTCCCTCGCATGGTTGTACTGAATTAGCCGGTAATAAGGGAAAATTAAATGTTGAGCTGAAGAAGCCAGTCGTCAACAAAGCAGGTAAGAACGGGAGAATGGGAGCAGATACCTACCTCGATTTGCCGAACAGGTGCGTAGTGGTGTTTTTCCAGTGTATGCAGAGCTGCGCTTGTCCCTTTACCATCAACAATAACTATTTTACCAGAAGCACTATCACACACGGCAAGATAGTTGACCGCATCAGCCCCTGAACCACAGAGACTAAGATTGAAGGGAATGAAGTTCCTAAGAGACTGACGTAGGCAAAAGTTAATTAAAGGAACAAATGAAGTTAGGAAAATAGCTGTTTTCCTCACCTTGGTGTACCCAACAAGCCCTTCTGGGAGCGAAATCAAATTTCAGGATATTGATCATATCGAAGTTTTCCACATCGAAAACCTTCACATTCTTATCCTGTTGACATACCGTAGCTAATAAGGTGCCATTAAAGTTGGTACATAAGTGAGAGAATGCAGCTGAAAATGAAACCGGGTCGATTACTGCTATACTTAAAGTTTTTGTCTGAAAAAAAAACAGATTAGGACGTCCACATACCTAAATGACAACGGAAATGCTTTACGAATTCGATTCCTTCAGCATATTTTTTCTTCCAAAACTTCAAATGACCATCACAGCTGGCCGTTATGATAAAGTCAGTCCTATGTTCAGTTCGATTATCAATTTTTGACTGGACGCAGTGAAAACGTCGGTGTTGAAGGGATTAAGCAAACTTACTCCGTGGCAATCACATCAGTTATGATATCACGATGCATAAAAGACTTTTCATACTGACTCGCTGACGGTATAGACCTCAGATATGTTGATTCAAACTTTAGTTTACGTTCTGAACAAAAAAAATAAAAAAAATAGGGAAAAAGGAAATCAAGAGGTGGTACCTAAAACAACGTAGACATACCGTTTGGCTTTTTGATATCCGGCCCTTCGACAGCATCGTCGGCTGTTCTTTTCTTAGCCAATATAGGTTTCTTAAATTCAGACTGTTCAGGTTCCTTGTTCTCACTTTCGCCGTCTATAGGCTTCTTCTCTTCAGCTTTACCTTCAGAAGGGTCACCTGTGGCAGAAGAATCACCTTCTTTAGGCTTTTCGTCACTCGTACTTACTGAAGGCGCGTCTTCTTCCATTCTCATTCTAGAAAAAAGCAACTTCTGACTAACATAGGACCACGAAAGTTGAAGCACCACTGCCAAATATAAGTTGCTCGGGGATACAAACTAGATTTCCAAATGGATAAGTAAATAAATGGTTCTCGCATGCTTGGTACGATTGAATCACTTCTTCCCAACATCGTAAATATATTCCCGAAAAGCCACAAAAAATTCGAGGATTTAAAAAAACAAGAAAAATTGTCCGAGTAGCGTGAATAGTAAGTTGAAAAACCGCAAGCCCTTCTTGCTGCTAATACGGGAGCTTGAGTCTAAAGTTCGATTACATTATAAACAGGGCAGAGAGAAAATGCAACAGTTTTACCAATGTCTAAGAAAGGATAACAGATCGAAAAATAATCTCACAACCTCGAAATATTTCGAATCATCCACGTCGGCAAACATGCTCTACAGCTACACTTTATTTGTTGGTCCCACAGCGAACTCCCTGTTAATCCTTTCAGAGGTCAGTAGCACTCGAGTTTTCTTCAAACCAAGTGCATCTCGAAATTTGTTTGTTTTCGTTGATTCTCTAGATGCAGTTCGGTCTTGAACTCCTCATTTGTAATCCACACTCGTTGGTCGTTTATTGTGAATACTATTCTTTTCCATATTCGTTTGAAAGGGCGGTTCTGCTCTACGTTGTATTTTTGGTATCTTTTGGAATCATCGCTTTATGAAGGTGTTGGTAAAACTCGTGGGGTGTTTCGTATTCGCATAAGTTCTTCAGATGTCAACGAAGCCAGCAACCGCATCTCGACCTTCGGGAAAAGAGTCTTATTTCAAGGATAAGGATAAGCCTGAAGGCGTTCGCAACAGGTTTGTTTGGAGCTTCGATTTACTTTTAACAGAATTACTTGCAGGTGTCGGCCAGTTAGCGCTTGTGTGTAGGGAACCCTCAAAATTCTTGAAAACAAGTTTTCAGTATCATATATGTATTAAACTTGACTGCATCGCGACCGTAGAAACTCTTCTCTAAAATGTAGAATGTGTATTTGAAGTGTGGTTTAGGGCTTACCTCTCACAGATTTTCGAACAGGCCACGTAAAAGCACCCTAAGAGATGCGTACGTCCCTGTTTGTTCCAAGTTCCCCTTTTTGCCATTCTTTTTGGTACGCAACCAAATGGATATATGGGCTTAGGTTGAGTTATGCCAGGATTTGAAAGCGAGAAGAGCAACGCTGACAGTTTCCTTACAAAAAGCAGAATTGTCTGGTTTCCTATTCAAATATTATTGAGCACATGCAAAAGTTGTAGCTATTTAGCAATATCATTGCTGCAAAAGCAGTGACCGATGCTGTGCGAACATCTCTCGGTCCACGTGGAATGGATAAGATGATTCAGTCTGGGAATGGCGATGTAACGATCACCAACGATGGTGCGACAATACTTAATCAAATGAGTGTTGTCCATCCTACTGCTAAAATGGTATGTTTACTGTTGTTTTTGTCGAAAACCTGGATTTAATTTGTGTATGGTGTATATTGCTTACTACTGCTGTAGTCCCACTTGCTAAACCTTGGCATGGTTTGAAGTGGGCAGGGATAGTACTCTTTCCGCTCATGTGAGAGATGAAAAGGCACACCGTTCTATGACTTTATATCCACGTCAATCTCTCCTTCTATTCCCCTTCTTATTCATACCTCTTCACTGAGACTCGTGTTTCAGCTTGTCGAACTTGCAAAAGCCCAAGATATCGAAGCTGGTGATGGAACAACCACCGTTGTAGTGATTGCTGGTGCACTTCTGGACGCTGCCCAGGCTCTACTCGAGAAAGGTAAATTCGAACTGCTAAGCACTCACTAGTGAATCAGTTACAGCTTCTTTTATGTGATTGTCAGGAATTCATCCCACCACCATTTCCGAGTCGTTCCAAGCTGCTGCTGAAGAGGCTGTGAAGGTGTTGGAAGGAATGAGTTCTCCTGTTGACCTTAGCAACGAAGAACTCTTAGTCAAGATGGCTACAACTTCACTGAANNNNTTTTTTTTCAAATTCTTCACTCGATGAGTTTATCGGAAGCAATTTGTTGAAATAGTATGTGCAGTTTTCCTCTTTCATCCCGTTCCCGTACTCTTCTATGATAGATTTTGTCTATATCCGTGAGACAGATGATAGGAATTCTATTTCAGTGTCAAGTTCGCTTTCAGGTGGTTTCTCAACATTCCTGGTTGCTGGCGCCAATGGCTGTTAATGCCGTGAAACGTATCATCGATCCTGTTCGCGATACCTCTGTGAATTTGAAAATGATTAAGATCATCAAGAAGATGGGAGACACAGTGGAGGTACTTTCGCTACTCATCTCTGTTGATGAAGGTTCTTTGAAGCTGTGCTATGGGGTTGTTTTAGGAGTCGGAGATGATAGATGGAGCCCTTATAGACCAAAAAACGATGGGACGTGGGGGACCAACTCGCGTCGAGAAGGCCAAAATCGGACTTATACAGTTTCAGCTTAGTCCTCCTAAGACAGACGTAAGAAAATAATTGAAATCATTTGCGCGATGCACTCCACGTTTAATCTTTCAGATGGAAAATCAAGTAATTATCTCTGATTACACACAAATGGATCGGGCTTTAAAGGAAGAACGTCAGTATTTGCTGGACTTGTGCAAGCAAATCAAAAAAGCGGGATGCAATGTGCTTTTAATTCAAAAGAGTATTCTCAGGTTGAGTTGTTGCTATATTCCCTTATGATCGCAACGTTTCGATCATCTGACATTTTTTTATTTTCAGGGATGCTGTAAATGAACTGTCTCTACACTTCCTTGCCAAGATGAAAATTATGGTAGTGAAGGACATCGAACGCGAGGATATCGAGTTTTACTCGAAGGTCGGCCAAAATGATCTATCTTTCTTTCAAAATTTTGATCATTTTAACAAGAATGCTTCTGGGCAAATCTGATCAGTTAACATCGCTCTATTAACCTTCCCTCCAGACTACCGTAGTCTTCGATAAACATATTTCGCTGCAATGTGCAAATTAATTCCAACGGGTCATTGCAAAAGGGGGTTGAACTTGGTTTAATCATCCTAGAGTGTCATCTGTAGTAGACTCTACTCTGTAGTAGGCACTTGTGGCCCTCTATTCACATGGAACTATGCTCACGATCGAATTTTCAAATTAAGAGTTTTACGGATATTTTGAGCTTCAGAACCTCCATCCTTCTGTGGCTTTTATAATAATGATATAGTAATAAAGAAATAATATAATACCATTCATGCTTGCTTATAAGGGTTTTCACCGTAGCGAAAACCGATCTGAAGAAGAGGAATGAGTTTTTAAAAAGACTGCTTCGATAAAACATTTTCCCTACAGATTCTTGGTTGCCGACCTATCGCATCTGTGGATCACTTTGTACCAGAAGCTCTTGGTAGTGCTGATCTTGTTGAGGAGATCCCATGTGGAGGTGATGGAAAAGTCATTAAGGTATGCTCTGCAAAAAATCATCATCGAAATAATTGTTTTAATGTTGACTGCATAAGTATTCTTATTTGAAACGTGTATTCCAGGTCACTGGTGTTGCAAACCCAGGACAAGCTTGCTCAATTCTGTTGCGTGGATCCAACAAGCTGGTTCTAGAAGAGGCCGAACGCTCTCTTCACGACGCGCTTTGCGTTATTCGTTGTTTAGTCAAGAAGAGGGCCCTTCTTCCAGGTGAGATCTTAGACCACCGAATGCAGAAGAATTCTTACTATTATTGTCGATGTTTTTTAGGAGGAGGTGCACCCGAAATGGAAGTGGCAGTACAGCTGCGCCAGCTAGCTCAGAAACAACATGGAGCTCAGCAGTATTGCTGGAGAGCATTCGCTGATGCCTTGGAGTTGGTGAGTGATCGATCGATCCATGAAAATTTCAAAGTCCTTGTATCTGTCTGTAAAGAGTTCAAGGTGTATGGCGTCATATAATCCAGTGAAACAATCGCATTTTTTCGCCACACAGTGCTGTATTTTTTACTAGTATATCCTCTCTATGATATAGAATATACTTCCTGGCAATGAAATTTATATTAAGATCCGGTCTTTATTTACCGAAAGAGATGATTTTTTATTGCTCGTAGAACTTACAGCGGCTATGAAACTCGATCCTTTGCGAAATGCTCAACGGCAGAGTCATTCAAATGATCGCAAGTTTATCATTCCTTTACAGGTCCCCTACACCTTGGCCGAGAATGCTGGCTTATCCCCGATTCACACTGTTACCGAGTTACGTGCGCAGCATGCCAATGGCAATACTGACTATGGCGTTAATGTTAGGAAGGTANNNATGTCAGCTATCAAGTTAGCTTCTGAATGCGTTAGGTCTATTCTCAAGATTGACGACATAGTGAGTTTTCGGAAACTTATTTTGACTGCACATCGAACGTTGAGATTCGTTACGGGACCCCTGTTGGCACGGCCTGACACCGTGCGAACAGGGGTCCCGTAACGAATCTCCGCAAAAATTGGCAAATTGCCACGGACGGGCATGTACGTTTTGTTGCGTTCCTGCACATTTACGACTTGTCTTTTTTTCTCCTTTAATTCACACGTGATTTCAAGGATTTGTTTTTGACAACACTGTTTTTATCTTTGTCAAACAATACCATCTGTTCTTCTGCATATTTATTTGCGACTACCGCAAAACTTGGAAATATTTGAATCCTTCGTACACCCCTTTGCCGTGAGCTTGATGGTTCAAGTGTTTTGAAAATTCCATCCCTTCAACGATGCGGGCGATTGAAAACCTATAATTTTCGTCAATAGTTGGAGGCTTCAAAGACTTTCCACATAGATACTCGCTCAGGTACCAACTATTCCTACTATAGAAGAAACATAACTTGAAGCATACCAGTTTTTCAATTTTCGAATCGTAGTCCGAAACATGGACTTCTCGTCGGACACCTCTAACCCTGTGACTATGACCGTCATATAGGTGACTCTATCATCCTAACCTTTGAGGTATTCTGATACTGAGGTCCAACCAATTCCGCCGCCGTTCTGACTATTTTGCTAAATATATCTAAGCATGTTTCCTTTTGAGGGATTCAGCTAGTACTATATCATATATCAGCCTAGTATACAATAGGGGCTCTCCCTCCCCTAAATTTAGTGTCAGTTCGGTCTCTTGGTCCTGCCCTCCACGTTTTGTTCCGCCCTCAGCTCCTCATAAAATAATGCAGTAAGCTTTCAGGTGCCCAGATCACAAAATAGGACGCAGCTAACTTTTCCATCTTGCCCGCTTTTCGTACATCCTCAGTTGGGCTGGGTCACCTTAGGTAGTTTCTCAGACAATACCGAATTCCATTTGACACAAACAGTGTTATATTGGGTACTCATTTAGAGTAATGGTAGTTGGTTGAGAAATCGAATTTTCGCTTTCCCATTGACACAAACATGTTCAGCCATAAATATTTAAGTTCTGGAGTAATTGCTTAGCTTCATGAATTGCAATCGAACAATTCAATTTTGATTTATGTCTGTTGATCGTTGGAGACTAATATGTCGTAGCAAGGATTTTTTCTGCAGCATTCGTTTTTATTCGTAGTAAGCAGTACTCGATTTTATTCGTTGTCGAACTTTGGAAAAAGTCAGGTCTTGAGATTGAGATATGAGAGTAGTCAGAGCTGGAGCTCAACAAATTTGAGTAGGCAAATTCACATATCGTCATGCTTATCTCTGCTTGTCGAGTAGACTGTGCCGTCTACAGTTGTAGAGTGGGCTCCGCTTCACCAGTGCTATAGATATTCTAAGAATTTGTTCAGTGAAGGGTAACTTGCTAATGCTGGTTATTTCTAGGTCATGGCTGTTCGTTAATGTCGTTTCCTCTGATCATCGTTGGATCCAAAAAGCATCTCGTTAATCAATACACAGTCATGGTAATCCGGCTTCAAACAGCTTTGCCTTGCCGACATGCAGGCGCTAATTTCTTTGATCTGCACTATTTTAGTTTTTGTTTTAGTTTTCCTTTGTTGTCTGTTCACAGTAACTGTTTTTTTTTTAAATAAAAATTTTGTTATTGTTCCATAAACTTAACTAGTAACAACGTTTTTATCGAATAGCGTATGTTTTGGCAACAGAATAGAATAATGATGGAGTAATTCATGAGTGCTCGATGTGAAAGGTGGTAGCGTATATACCAATTGCTCGTGATGAGTGCATAAGTGTGTTTGAGATTCGTGTTCAGGGTGACAATAGACACTGGTGGGTTTCGAACTCGCATTTGTTGATGGACGACATGCAAGTTGATGTGTTGTCAACGAGTTCCAGCCAACTTCCTGTATGTGGAGACGTCGTGAGTAATCACACAGTTGATTGGTGAGAAGAAGCAATTTCGTGAGCCAGCCAATGCTCTTAGTTGGGATTTCTTCGCTGCTCGCCATGCACCTTCATACCCACTGGCACCATTGGGCTCATATGCCAGATAGTAGCTGAAAATGAATATTTTATTGAGAGGTCCATGATTGATGAAGGTGTTTGGTGGTGGTGACCTAGTAAGCAACCTTTTTTATTGTATTACAGCTGCGTGGGTGCAAGGTGCAGCGGGTAAAGTTGTAATTATTAGAAATGCGGCGCTCATGCACTTAATTGAGGGTCGGAACCAGTCTAGACGAATAGATGAACGACAATCTTCAATCCATGTGGGCTCAGTTACTCGCTTTTTTCTTTGTCTGGAAGAGGGATAGGAGTTAAGCATTTGACGTGGGCTTGCTCGCTAGCCAATCAATGTAGTAAAGTACATATAATAAAGCATTCAAAAAGGGGAAATCAAATTGTGATATTTTGAGAGGGCCGCTCGGGTTTTAGGTTCTGAGTGTATGATGGAGTCGATTCTGATTCGGTCACTCCGTGGTCATAGTCGGCGGCAGGTGCTAGCGCGAGATGGTGCCCTGTGGACGTGAGATAGGTGCGAAAAGTAGGCCCATATACTCAGAACGCATACCGCAATCTAGTTTCTTGCCCAGTAAAAACAGAAGTCTAGCGGTAAGCGCTATCAAATGTTCAAACGACTACTTTTATCGTTTACGATTTTGTCTCGCGAATGGGGGTGGGGAAAGGGGACAAAGCTTTCAAATGGTCGGTTTATTCCGGTTGAAATAAAAGTAAACATAAATCACCTGTTGCATAGAGCGACGAGGGCGCATAGTAGGAGAACACGAACGATGGCTGCCGACAAAGAGCTGTTCATGATTCTGTAAACGAGGGTTGATGTCATTTTTAATAAAACATGTCCGGCAATATTCGAGCGAAAAAGACTTCATTGGCGAGCGCTGGAGATATAGAGAGTCTAATGATAAATATGGCCAGTTATCCAGGGAGAGATGAAGAATCATCCCATAAAACGATAAGTTATCGGTATGAAATGGAATGGGAGGAGCGAAGGGATTGATGAATATATGCAGTAGGATGGCTTGGAAAAGGTGATCGGAGAAGGTACTTATGAGGTTTCTACCATAGGAATTCTTTTGGTCTGAGGGTTCGCTCAGAATCAGCCCTTTATGTAAGCATGTCAATGCAGGCGGCTGTGGAAAGGATTTCTAAATTGCAATCCAAAGGGTGAAAGATGAATGAGCACGAGACAGTTGCTACGGTGAAAGACGTCAAAAAAGGCTCATTTGATGGAGGATGATTGGTTTCTTGGCAAGGACATGGCTGGCCGTTTGGAGGCACCCTGAAATCTGAAGAGTTACCCGAGGCTGTACCTTGAAAGAGCTCGTGGAAGATCCCATTTATCTGCCAACCTGACACACTTTTTTACCATTTTAATTTTGGTTACTAGGGAGAGATTTAGTGGCGACACTATTGTAAATTTGCTTCCGATATTCAATTGGATACCTACTTACGTAAAAGCCATTGAATTTTCGGGAGCCAGGCAAGTCAGGATGCTGAATATCGTCTACCAAACCGAGCCAAATGTGAGCCCTAATGCTTACAGGTGTTATGAGTAGAATATGAATGCATGGCGCATCTTTGAAAGAGGGTAGAGTGACATCTGTTGCTTCGTCTCCTATGTCGTATTCAGTGTGAAGTGCTGGGTGTTCATAAACCTTGATGTTTTCACTCAACGCCTCCTAGAACATATTAGTGAAGCCTTCGAATACAAATGTTTTAATTAGCCTATGAAAAGGCATATTGCCAGAGATAGGCGGATATCCAGTAACTGCACTGAGATTCGAAGATCTCCATCCTTTTTATTCCGTTGTTCTCACTGCGGAGCTTCCATTCTTTTGTATTCCACTAAAGGTATCTGCGGGGATGTAAGAAGTCAGCACATTCCCTTGAGCTGAGTTTCTCATCTAAACTTCCCTAAAAGCCTTGTAGTAATTGTTTAGGGGGAATACTTCCACAGTGAGCTCTTGAAGTTTTCTCCGATCAGTAAGACCGAAATCTTCTGTGGATGGGTTTACTGTGAATACTGTAGGTAAACTTTGGATTTTTTGCTTCCGAAACGACCACCACTGCATGTGCAATAAGTTTTTCGATACATTTTTGTGTGCTAGAGCCGATGGTTTTTTTCAGTTCGGGCACATTTGAAATAATTAGGCTAAATAAAGTAGCATTTGGGCACGGGACGCGGACAGTGAATAATTGCCCACTGGAAAGGAAATATGTAGAAAGGTCTATTTTGATAGTGGAATTATACAGGAAAAGGAGTACTGTAGAGAACCTACCGAGGCGGAAGTACGTAATAGTCAAAATATTATAGACGGATACGATGAGTAACGGTGTTTCGCGAAGTGTGTTAAAGGGATGTTTGATGAGAAAAATGCTTGAGGAGATGGATGGTGTAGAGGGGAAGATGGGCAGCAAAAGATCGTGTAGAAAATAGTAAGTTAAGGGACAAAGGCGAAAATGTCCAAATTGGCAGTGGCAGAGTGTGACAAATTTTCGAGTCTATCATGACCCCCTCTGCCTCCTTCCCATCTTATAAATTCTCTTCTTTGATGTTTCAGCCTATTAAACCTTTTAGCAAACGTTAGGCCGTGGCAGTAGGCACTGCCAACTTTTCGTGGATCGACTTCCTGGTCTTTGGGCTATATTTGAGGTCAGAAATAAGGAAATTCGAAGAATAAATAATCCAGTTCAGTGATAAAATAAGGCTGTCGCAATGGCGTTTGTTTCATTTTAAAAATCGATATAAGAATTAAATCAACCGAATCTGATAAGAAAAGGTCGATGAAGTAAAAAATGTAGGTAGATCCGGTAATATTGTATAGAGTACTACGATATTCAGAAGTACTGCAAAAATGGGCTGGGTGCGCCCATTTATAGAAGATTAAGCCGCGTCTTGGATAGATCGGGCAAAAAACAGGGAACCAAGCCGAGTGGATGGGCGGGGCTCAAAATTACATTTTCTAGGTGGTTAATCTGATCAAAAGACATCTAAGATTAACAAAGCACATGCGAAACCTTGTGAACGATCTTATTAAGGAATGAAATTGAATTCTGACTGACGCAATATGAACGCTTTATTCACGAGGAAAGAATGTAATGGTCGGTATAGGCGATGAGGAAGGTAGATAGCCCTCATGTTTTTACTCATTCTTTTGCTTGAAGTGACGGCTTCCAACATCAACAATGTGTTTTTTTGCTAGTCGTTAATTACTAAGAGTAAACAATTTTCGCTTCATCGAATGTTGATGTTGAAATGACTAAATCAAATGGTAAATGGGGTGAAGACGCCTCAATGCGTAGCGTAGGTGTGAGCTTCAGCTACGTGTTGGACATGGGTATTTGATAGCGAAGGAAGAGTCACCACTAGATTGTGAGCTTCAGCGTCTTCTAGGAGTCCACGGGCATGGTTGACCTTCACAGGGCTCGAACTGTCAACGTGAAAGATGATGCCGACGCTGCATTCCTTTCTTTCAAGATGGCTCTCCACTTCGTTCGGGGAAAAAAGGAGGCTTTTCGCAAAGTTGAGTGTGGAAGCTCACCACGGCCCAATGTTCTATCAACCGTGCGAAAAATTGGCGCTTGTTCGATTGCCTTTTCTTTTTGGAAACTTGCTCTTGCAGAAACAACCCTCAATTTAAGCTACATCGTTATTTTATGGGACTAGTTACCGTTTTCGCCCATTATAGCTCCCTTTAAGATTTATGGTCCCTCAGTCAGATGGAATTTATTGAAATTATGCAAAGAGTAAATCAAATTGTCATTAACTTCATTGATCGTAGACCTGGTTGAAGTCAAGCCAAGGATTGTGGCCTTGGTCACCTTGATTTTGGGATGCGCCATGCGTTTAGCTTCTAATCAAAATTTTACTCAGTTTTGACGATGCGTTTAGAACCTAGGAGAAGTCTGTCGCCCTATCCCTTCCATGTCTCCACTCTGAGTAGCGTACTCCATGGTTCTCATTGGATCTCAAACCCTGTGAAGAAACCCGTAAAAGGAGAAGTTTCGTGGCTTTTCCAACAGAGAAAGTCCTTTTCTCACCCATCCCCACTTCTCTGTAAAAGCCTAACACAAGCTTCCCTGATGGTTCATAAAGGGAAAGAGCGTAGAGAATTTATGAGAACGAGAGCTGGAGCAGTGGAGAAGGATTGAGAGCAGGGAGTCACTAGATTAGGAAAGGTTCATTATCTGTTCGGGGATTTTTTGGATTGGGAAATTCAAATGGAAAACTAGAGTTTCCTCCGTAGGTGCATATTGAGTGAGGAGGGCCCTTTCCCGCTCATTTTCTTGGATCTCCACATTGGGCTTCATTTACAAATAAAAAACGGAAATGATGTCATTTCCTGCTTTTACAGTATCGTCATAACAAGTGTATATCAACCATACAATTCAGTTAACACAGTTGGAAAACTAAAAGCTACGACAGGATTATCGATTGGTCCGTCCAGGACCTGGACCATTCCAAAAACGTACTTCGTCCTTTCACGGTGTTAAGTATCAGTTAATAAAGGAATTTCGCTAGATCATAGGACGGAGGGACTTTCCAGCTTTCCATTGATGGGATATCGTGAAGATGGTGAGTGCTTCTCTCCACGGTAGATTAGTGCGGTTACGGTTTGACCGCCACCCGCTGAGATCGCGATTTTATCGGGTTTTCCGGACCTGGGAGCACTTACGTCCACCGCCACGGCTCCAAGCGGTTATCCCAGGTCCATAAGTCCTTGATTCTGCCCACGCGCTGTTTAGTTTATGATTATGGATTCAGGTATTCTGACACCACGTCTGCTAAGAATCCGCAATATTTCAGGCTTTTTTGTTGACAACGATGAACTGCTACTGGTGCGTCTACGCTAGCGGTTGTAATCTCCACTACCTTCACCCGCTATATGCCTACTCCAATGCGAGAGCTGCCTCTTTATAGTCCTCATCTGGATGGTTCTAGAGTAAAGGTGGGTGCTAATGATTTTATGTTGTTTTTTATGCTTTTGTGGTTTCATCGGTCAGAGCCTGGCTAAGGACTACGTACTGTGTTAGCGGTATAGTATGGGAGCTGTTGGAGAAAGTAGAGGGACGATATTACTCTCAAATAATTATTCGGCGTTGATCTATACCTTTGCAATACTGGGCCGCAAGTCATTGTACAGGCCAGAAACACACTCAAATCACCAGGTTCTGGATGGACGCGGAGTGCGCGGCGCATGCTAGAGACGGTACTGATTACCGTCAAAGACTTCACCCTTTATCCTATTTGGTGACTTGACTTGACACTAAATTGAGCTATTTTATGTTAAAGAAGCCATATAGCGTAGTGTCAGGAAAGAAAAGACATATAATAATGAAAATCTGAGGACAAAGCAGCCAAATGATATGAAGATGAAGCCACTAAAGCATAGATAATGCTTTCCTGGAAGAGATGTGACGGTTATTGAGGAGGTGTAATATGAGTAACATCACGTCGTTTTTGGGGAATCTATGTAGCTATGTGTAGCAGCTCATAGATTATTCAAAATCCATTTTCACAAAGTTACAGTCGCAAGGTTGGTGTGTTTTCAACCATTTTGAAAGAGCCTATGTGAACTAATTGTAAGTAGAGTACGAGTACGAGAGCGGACTTGCTTCGGAGAGGGCGACACAAAGGGGGGAATCTCCTAGTTAGGTTTTAGAAGAGTCCAGACACCGGGAAGAAAGAGCAGACGTGAGAACGGGTCGACAAATGAAATAAGTGTGACACAACCGCCATGGGCGAGGCGTTCTCTCAGTGGGCTGTAGTTCCCACATCAATTCATAATTTCCATCCCGCAGCAGCGCTTTCATGAGCAATGGCACTCAGAACTTTTGAAAAATTCGTAACTATGTTTGAAGCATTCTTTGCTGTGATACACGCAGTAGTAAGCGTAGCCCAACTGGTTGATTATGGGATTTTCCGTTAAATTCCAGAATGTTTAAATTCAAATTCTATTATTATTATATA